TCCTGAGCCAGCATGGGGGAACTATGGCCCCCTCATGACTCGTGGACTTCAACTCCCAGAATTCCTGAGCCAGCATGGGGGAAACTATGGCCCCCTCATGACTCATGGACTTCAACTCCCAGAATTCCTGAGCCAGTCTATGGACCCCTCATGACTCGTGGACTTCAACTCCCAGAATTCCTGAGCCAGCATGGCTCAGCTTGGAAACCTCTTCCTTTCCCCTCAGCGTGGCTGGCTCAGGAATTCTGGGAGTTGGAGTCCACACGTCTTAAAGTTGCTGAGGTAGAGAAACAATGAACTAGGCCAGGGGTAGGAAACCTTGGCTCTTTTATGACTCATGGACTTCGACTCCCAGAATTCCTGAGCCAGCATGGCTCAGCTTGGAAACCTCTCTCTTTCCCCTTAGCATGGCTGGCTCAGGAATTCTGGAAGTTGAAGTCCACAAGTCATAAAAGAGCCAAGGTTGCTGGAGTTTCCTGTGTGTGAGTTGGGCTGCCATAAATGTGTGTGTGTGTGTGTGTGTGTGTGTGAGAGAGAGAGAGAGAGAGAGAGAGAATTATATAAATTAGATAAATCAGTTTCTCAAGACAGACAGACACAGAGATATTATTAGAAATAGATGGATGGATGGATAAGATGGATAATAGATGGATGGATCATATAGAGATGGCAGATAACATTTTTAAATAATAGAATGTGTTTACACATGAATGCATATATATAAAATATATATCCTTCCAGGTTATTCTGTCCTGAAGGTCATTAAGTGGAGACCAATCTTCAGTTAGGACTGAGCTTCTAAGACCCAAGCAAGAAATATCATAGTCCTAAAACAGCAGGGTTGGTAGGCACTTTAAAGATCATGTAGTCCAGCCCTGTGCCTAAGAAGGCAGAAAGGGAAGCCTCCACCAAAGCTGGCTGGAGCATTCTGCAAGTTGAAGTCCATGCATATTCAAGTGTCCAAAGTCGAGATACATTGTTTTAAGTTTTGCAGGATCCAATCCCAGGTGGTCACCGGGATCAAAGTTATGTCTTAGCTACAGTTTGGTCTAATCTTCTATTTCGCGCGCGCACGTGCACACATGCACACACACACACAAAAGAAAAAGAATGATCTTTCTCAAGGGTCCCTAGCGTTCTGGGGA